CAACAACCCTAGGAAACAAACAGCACCCAAGATTTCTATCCTTGAGCATCCACATTTTGTATGAGCCTCTCTGTTAGAACTTGTGAATGTGATGGATGTCACTCCTCGGCTATAACGCTATATGGCAGAAAGGATTTTACAGATGCAATTAAGGTCCCTAATCAGTAGACTAATCACTCTTGGATCAAAAGGGATAATTGTCCTGGATTGACCTGACTGCATCAGATGAGCCCTTGAAAAAGTCTGGCCTTTCTCTAAGAGATAAAGCATGAGAGAACAAGAGACTGTGATGAAGGCCATGAGGCAAAGGTCAGAAAGTGACCTCCAAGATGTGACAGCCTGTGAGAAAACAGGAGGCTCAGCCCCACAACCATGAGAAACTGAGTCCTTCCAATAATGCTAATGTTCCTGGAAAGAAGCACAGAGCTCTGGGTGAGGAAGCAGCCTGTCCACACCTTGTTGGTGTCCTAAGGCTTAAGCAGAAGATCCAGCTGCACCCTGCCCAGACTTCTGACTACAGAAGTAGAAGATATAAATAGGTGTTGCTTTATAGCCAGACGTGGTAGCACATGCCTTCAATCCCAACAGCTCAGGGGGCTGGCACAGGAGGATTATGAGTTCAAAGCCATCCTCAGCAATTTGGTGAGGCCCTAAGTAACTGAGCGAGAACTTGTCTCAAATATCAAAAATGGCTGGGGATGTGGCTCAGATGTTAAGTGCCCCTGGGTTTAATCCCTGGTACCAAATAAATAAATAGGTGTTGTTTTAAATGGCTAGCTCATGGTATTTTGCTATGCTGCAATCCAAAGCTAATACATAGGCCCAGCTCCAAGCTGTGAGAATAATAATAAAGGTATTTTAAAATGACCTAAATGCAATATTGTGAGCTTTTTATTATAATGTTAATTATAAATAGGGAGGAAAAGTCAACAGTAGCTAAGCACTCTAGCTTTCCAAAGTGCTGTAGGAACAAGAAAGTTTTCAAATATGCTAAAAATAATTCTACTAATTGCTATCAGTTGGTAAGAAGTACTCAGTTGAAAGGAGGACTCAAGTATCTGAAGAAATATAATGAATCCACCCCCACATCTTTCAGGCTCCAAATACATGAGTGGCTTAATAGAGACTGCTGATGAGAACAGGAGGAAGGAATTGTCTCCTTCTTCCCACTCTTACCCACCCAGAAACAATTAGTGACAGGGAACAAAGGAAGCCACATGCCTCTTGTTCCAAGGCTCAGGAGACTAGAGCCAGGTGAGGAAGAAAGGTGGCAAGTGTTTTTGCATCACAGGAACAATCTGACAGAAATCAGGCAATTCAAAGTGGGAAATATTGGCAGATTGACCAATGAATCTCCAGTTCCATTTCTCCTTAGGTGTCCATTCAAAGTATGACCAAGAGACTTGGAAAGCTGGAGAACAAAGCAGCATTTATTGAACACTTACTAGAGACTTTTATACTGTACTTTCCGTTGATCCTATGGCCATCTGTATCAGTCAGGACTGTTCAAAGAAACAGAATCAATAGTGTTCATATGGAGAGAAAGATTATGAAGAATTGGCTCACATGGTTATGCAAGCTGGCAAGTCCGAAATCATGGCCTGTAGACTGGGTGCCCAGGAAAACTGGCATTTCAACGTAAGTACAAAGGCCTTCTGCTGGTATTACAAATGAAGCCTAAAGGCAGTCTGCTGGAGAATGTATCTTGTCAGGAAAGGCCAGGATTTTGTTCTGTTTAGATCTTCAACTTATTGGACAAAGTCAGCCAACATCATGGAGGGGAATCTGCTTTCCTCGGAGTCCACAGATTTAAACATTAATCTCATCCAAACATCCCTTTACCTCACAGAAACATCCAGAATAATGTTTGATCAAATATCTGGGCATCTCTGGTCCAGCCAAGATGACATAAAATTAACTATCACCCACCTGGAAAGTAGATATTGTCTTAATTTTACATATGAGGAGATAGAGAGCAGAAGAAATCCTCACATCCAATTCAGCCTCTGATTGGAGGTCAGGCTACAATCAAACCAGAGTCTTTCTGACTCCAGAAAGTTGGGGGTGGGCCAGTATCATTGAAACTCACTGGAAAGAAATCCAGTTCTCACCTACCCACATAAATAACCCAAAATAGGTGTTGGATCAACTCGCAAGTATTTGAGCCCCTGCTATTCACTGAGCTGTCAGGGAACTAAACATCTCATCTTGGTCTCAAAAGCAAAAACTTGCAAAAATGTGTAGGAGGTCTCTTTTTCTGTCCTGTACGGTTTTTGGGTGGAGATTGAGTCCCACAAGAAGTAGGTAGCAGTGCCAGGACGAGGACCCAGACCCTCTGCTTCTGCTTTGAGATTGCTTTCCCTTCTCAGATGACCCAAGGTGACCACAGATAAGATTAAGTGCTCAGACTTTGGGCTGTGTACTGACCTCAAATGATCTCCTTTCCTAGGAGGATTGCCACCAAGGTCCACTGAGGCAAGAGAGCTACTTCTTTCAGCAGGAGGTAAGTAGAAGTATTCTGCTAGGACAAGCCAACAGGGAATATAGAAAAGTCACAGGGCAAAGGTCTCAGAGCCTCATCCTGCTTTCTCCTGCACATTCCCCACCCAGAGCACTTGACTTAGTGCCTCTAATACAGTTTTGAGTCTGAATGCCACCTCTCAGGAAGCAGACCTCCCCTTCCACCCCCATCCCCCAGCTTTGTCCTTCGACCTGGACCTGATGGTTGCCTCTCACCTCCATGGACCATGGGCTCACTGGTGACACCTAGTAGTCAAGGCAGCTGCAGCAGGTGAAAGCCAGGATTTCTAGTTTCCTCTCCTGAAGGCAGAGTAAAGCACACTGACCTTGAACCCAGGAGCACACAGAGAGCCTGTGAGATTTCCCAGGAGGGACCCTATGGGTCATTGAAGAAAGAGGTGGATAAGGGCACCAGGAACCCTCAAGTAGCATGGTTTGAATATCCAAAAACAGTGCCTCGTTTGTCACTCTAAGCTGTCGAAGGGCATCTATGATAAAAAGCATAGACAGCCTGCAGCCTTTTCATGATTCCAGCCAGGAAAAGGGCCAAGGGAAGACTTCCAGGGTAGGACCCAGTCTGGGGCCCCTTGACATCCACCTCCCTTGGCCATGTCTGTCATATTATCCGCCGTCTGCTGCATGCCATCACCACCAGTCAGGTGTGACTACTTAAATTAAATTAAAATCACATTTAAAAATCCAGTTTTTCAGTTGCACCAGAGCTCGGGAGCCACTTGTGACCAGCAGTTTGTGGCAGGTCACAGAAACTATCCCTCGTCACAGAAAGTCACAGTGGACAGTGCTGAGCTATGAGCTAGGAATGTTTTCGCCTGGATATTAAAAACTTTTTTTTTTTAAATCAAGGTTTTGTTTGGATAGAAGAAAAAACAGAAAACTGAACGGACCTGTCATCTTGTTAAACTTCATTAGCAAGGAAACAGACTGACATAAGTTTGGCTTGAACTGGGGTTTTCCAGATGCCACCTCAAGGGGGTCCTCTCTCCCAGGAACACAAGCCCCATGGGCATGCATGTGTCGGGGCCCCAGAGGCACTGGAAGTTCAGGCAAGTCATTCTTTCCCTTCTTGCTTTCTCTTCACAAGAAATAACTTTCCTTAAACAACAAAGAGATACTTGGCAAAAACTCCTGGAACTCTGATTTGGACTGAGAGAATGCAACTTGGAGACACAAACTAGCCTAATGTTAAATTATGAAGTCCTGAGCCAGGGAGACACTGGACAAGCCACCAAGATCTCATTATCCCATGGGGTCTTCAAATGCCCCTCATGTGCCAGGACTATTCTAAGCTACAGGGAGAAGCTATGAGCCAAGGACCTTCCCTCAGTGCTTGCATGGAAGGACCTGACCCACAGGGTAAATAATAGTGTCCCTTCAGGATCCTAGATCCAAGGCAGCCATATAACGATAATTCATCCGCCAACCTCATTTCGAATTCTGTAATCCCACCCCTAATCCATATCAAGCACTAAGTTCTCTGCTGTCAGTATATCCCAGTGACCGTCACGGCAACCATGTTAGATCTCAGGTGTGGTCATTCTCTCTTCCATATGTGCAAACATTCTCAGAGAAGTAAAGCAAGTGGCACAAAATCGTGCCACTGGTACAGGATGAGCCAACCCTAACATCATAGTCCGCATGACGGGGGAAAGCACATGCTGTCAAATGTCCAGTGGTTCTAGGATTTTAGTGAGAACCTATAGCTCTGAAGATAGAGAAATGAACAAGACATAGACTCCTCCCTGTGATAAAGACAAATGTAGTTCAGTGTGCCCCATGGTGAGAAAACTAGAATTTGCTATAGAAACATAGGAAGGGCACATGATGGGACTGTGGTGGTATCAGGGACAGCTTCCTGGAGGAAGTGATATGTATATGAAGTCCTGCATATTGAGTAGAAGTAAGGGTGTGGACAATGGGGGTGGGGAGCCCTGGGGAAGTAGCTGAGTGGTACAGTATCCCTGGGTTCAATCCCAGGGGGAAAAAAAAAAAAAAAAAACAGAGGCCTGGCTACTTGTAAAGTAACAATAATAATAATCAGAACTTCAAAACAGGAATTAAGAGGAAAATTGCAATAAATACTACATTCAAAGGGCCAACTTCCTTATCAAAAGTTCTCGTAATGTAGGGGGTGATAAAAACAGGACAAGACAGTAGAATGAATGAATCAGACATCACTTTCCTATGTTCACAAATGAATACGTGACAAGGGTAACTCCACATTATACACAACCACAAAAACGGGAAGTCATACTCCATGTATGTATGATATGTCACAATACATTCTGCTGTCATGTATAACTAAAAAGAATGAAAGAAAATTTGTTAAGAAAAAAAAAAAGGACAAGGGTGTACTGAGTGGTGGAGTGCCTGCCTGAGGCTCTGGACTCAATCCCCAGCACCAAAAAAAAAAAAAAAAAACAGAACCTCACAGCTGACCATTAAGGAAGGAAACAGTCATGTTCATGTATGACCTCATCCTGTCTTCACATAACCTAAAGAATCCGTGATAAACAGTGACCATGACAATGGAACCGACTTGTTCACATTTTGCAGCAAAGTCTGTAATGAACAATTTGTAAATGGCCAGTTAATGTTTTGGTCCTGTTTCTTGATCTGTGGCACAATTCCTTCAGCTAAGTCAGTGGCTCAGCAGACTGGAGGGAGCTGGCCTAGATCCCTCAGTGCCAGTAAAATGAACTTCCATGCACTCCATTGCTTCTGGTGATGTCTACCAACCAAAGGGGAATGGCTTCCAAGGCCACCTATATGTCACGGTGTTCCCCTGCTCTGTGCAATGACACATAGGCCTGCCAGCGCACCAGGGTGGGAGGACTCAGAAGACCTAAGCTATGGAGGGTTTGCCATCTGCCTTAGCCCCAAGTACAGCTCATTCTGAAGAACCTGAGCATGCATTAGAAGCCTTGGGACTCACCCAGGGCAGTTTGAAGGGGAACCAGGACTGGATGGATCTACAGTTCCATTGGCATCTGTTTTATATATTGGCTTCCATTTGAAGAACACTTTCCATTGCTATAAACAGCTTGAAAACCCCAAGCTAATCCAGACTTTCTCCATGATAGGAAAGAAAACCAAGCTGAAAGAGAAGAGCTGAAACTGAGATCCAGGTCTCCTAGTCCCAGGGATCTTTGTCTGCTGTCCAAGCAATTCCCTTAACTCTCTCCTCATCCAGATTGTAAGTTTTAGTTGGTGGTCTGTTCCCAGCCTTGAATAACCAAAATGTTTACTAGTGTGCTGACCACCAAGACAAGGTATGGCCAGGCAGGATGTCCAGTTCAGCTGCATGGATCAAAAAAACCAAAAGGACAGTCACTTAAACAAGATAAAGGTTTATTTCTCTATTATATAGGCAGCAGAGTTGATATGGCAGTTCCATACTAACATCTTAAAACTTTTAAGATCCCAAGCTCTTTCCAATCCCTCAGTCAGCCATCTCAAAGACTCCTTTGACACCTTTGGGACACAAGATGGCAACCAGAACTCCAGCCACTACATCCATTTCCAGGAAGCAGACTAGAGGAGGGCAACAAGTAAACAGAGCAAATGGAGATATTGTTGTTTCAAAGGAAATTTCCTGAAAACTGCTACAAACCACCTCTACTCTATGTCTTCAAACAACTGGCTCCAAAAAAGATGAAAAGAGAACATGTAGGCAGCCATCCTCCCAACTAAATATTTCAGCTTCTAGTTCAAAAAGAAGGGAGAACTGCTATTGGAGAACTTCTCTGCTGTGCTAGGATTATTTCATTAATACTCCAACATTGTGAAGTAATTTATCTCTTCTGTACAGATGAGAAAACTGAGTCTTAAAGAAGATCTTTGATCAAGGTCACATACTCAAAAGCCCTGGCCTCCACATTTTAGAAACCTGTCTCAATATGTGGTTCTCCACCGTCGGGAGCAACTCTGCTGCCCCTCCCCCATGCCCCGTCCTGCCCACCCCTGTCTCCAGGATACATGTGACAAAATGACAATGTGCGGAGATATCTGGGGATGTCACAACTGGAGTGGACCGTGCTCCTGCCACCTAGGCGGTTAGAGCCTACAGTGCACAGGAAGATCCTCCACAATAAGGAATTATCCAGCCCAGAAACTCTACAGGGCTGAGGCTAAGAAACCTGATTGAAAGGAAGGTATTCCTTTAGGGCAAAGAACAGAGGCTCACCAAATAATGATTTTTCCCAAAAATGTCACAGGGCAAAGGGAACGATTCCTGAAGGAGAGATTTATAAATAGATCTAGGTTAGACTGCGCTGAGCACTCTCTAGCCGCCCCACCAACCACCACACACACACACACACACACACACACACACGCCTCTGGGTCTGCCGGTACGTGCCTGGTTCTTGGAAGTCAAGGATTGAGACCCTCAAGCCAGCTACCAAACTGAAACTTGGAGCGGGACCGCTCAGAGGCCCAGGGTTTCGGGACATCTCTTAAAAAAAAAAAAAAAAAAAACAGAAACGAGGCTTTGGCGTGGCCCCTGCAAGTGAGGTTTGGTGTCATCAGCTTCAGGGTAAACCCATTCTCTGGAAGCCCAGCTATTAGGAAACCCGCGGAGCGCGGTGCTTTCGCCTCGGTCCGCACCTGGACTCAGCGGTGACAGACAGCTCCACTGGAAACTCTCGGCACAGCGTCCCCTCCAACCAGCGCGGTCCTGGGCGCGCCACCGCTGGGCTGCGCGTTGGCTGCATCGCCCCCTGGTGGACTCCCGGGGCACCGCCGCCCGCTCCTGGCAAGCCCAGTCTCCACTCGCAGATGACTCCTGATAAGGTACTCACCCTGTTCAATACCCCACACCATCTACCTCCCCATCGTCAGCATTAGGGACGGACAGAAATACACCCGATTCCAGGCGGCTGGAGGCTTCTCTCCGATGTGGCAACCCGGCCCAATTATAATAATTACGTCTTGCAAATCATAACCCTTTTGATATTTTAAACTCCTGAACATGGCTCCTGTTGACATCCCTCACACTTCCCTTGCACAACAGAAACACACACCGTCACACGCGATCACCTGTACTCCTGATAGATCCAACAAGATGAGGTTGCCAGAGGCCATCATCCGAGCATCTTCCCCCAGCCCTGAGGTCTTCACCTGGTGCTGTCCTCCCCACCCTTTACATCTGTTTGAAGATCACTTTCCTATCCAGGAAGACTTCTTTGCTCCTGAAAGGTATTCCCACCATACCCTGAATGTCAATGGTTCTGTGAATTGACTGATGAAATAATGTTTAGATGCAACCTCGCAAGCATTGATTGACAATTCAGGTCCTGGGCTTGCCTCTAGGAATACACACATGAGGGTATCATGGGAGGTATGTGACTGGTGGCTTTACCCTGGCAGATACCCTAATGTCCCAGAACAGAAGGGGTTTTTCTGGCAACTGAACCCCCAGGCAAGCTTCCTAAAACCCACTCTTTCCTAATTCAGGCTATAAACCTCTTCTTAATGCTGCCACCCCTCACTTTGTTTCTCAAGGTATCCTTCCACAGCTGGTTGTGGATGAGAGCACACACTCCCCAACTCAGATTCAGAGGCATGAGCCAGGCACAGGGTTGAGCACCTGCAATCTTAGCTACTTGGGAGGTTGAGGCAGGAGTATCATGAGTTCAAGGCCAGCCTCAGCAAGTTAGCAAGACCCTGTCTCAAAATAAAATACAATTGTATCTTTAAAACTCCAGGAGCATGAAAAGTGATTGCAAAAACATTTCAATAGGGACCAGGGAAGAGAAAGAAGAAACCCTAAGTGTGCCATTATGTGTGAGCATGACTCTGTGTGTGTGTGTGTGTGTGTGTGTGTGTGTGTGTGTGTGAGCATGTATCATGAAGAGGCCAACTGAACTGGGACTAAATCAATTCTTGTTCCTTTACTAACTGTGAAGAAGGAATACCACATTCTGGGAAGATGCAGGAAACAACATTCAGGACAATGTAATGGGTCAAGGAGTGGTCTCCCCCACCCCCATTCACAGTCACCTTGAATCTCAGAATGTGACTTTATTTGGAAATAAGTTCTTTGCAGATGTAACTAGTTAAGATGTCAAACTGGATTTGGATGGCCCCTAACCCAAAATGGCTGGCATCTTTATAAGACAAAGGAGAATGAGATTTAGGCACAGGGACACAGGGAAGAAGCCATGTGATGAAGAAGGCAGAGACTGAAGCAATGTATCTACAAAGCCAGAAACAAGGAGTGTCATCAAACACCAGCAGCTAGGAGAGGGGCACAGAGTCATCTCACAAAGAGCCTCCAGGAGGGCTGAACCCCACAAACAACTTCATTTCAGGTTTCTGGCCTCCTGGACTATGAGAGAATAAACCTCTATTGTTTTGAGCCACTAAGTTTTGGGGTTATTTGTTACACAACAATGAACATCTAACGCAACTCTTTTGCTGGTCCTAAGGCCATGTGAAAGATCACATGGAACTAAACAAACTTCTGAAAGACTCAGGTAAGGGGACAGGGGAAAAACTGAAAACAAGACTGGAGGAAGAGGAGGACAGACCATGCCCATCAGATTAAAGCTGTCAAATTAGGTGTCCCTGGTGCTGGGAGCAATGGGAAGACCTAGTGGTACTGAGGAGACAGGGATGTGGTCAGATTCCTCTTTAGAAAGACCACTCTGGTGCCATAGAGGATGGGTTTGAGGAACTGGGCAAGTGGAATATAAACTCCAGGGGGAGTTGGGGACCTCCCCTAGCAACTGAATACAAAGTGTACCACTCACTGAGAAGGCAGCCAAGGCACAGGGTTGAATAAGTAAATGTGTGTGTCTATTGGACGTCCCAGTGGAGATGCCAGGAAGTCCATTTGCTTGAGATCAGTTGGACTATGGGAACAGATCAAGAAGGAGCCTGAATGTACATAAACCCCCACCCCAGGAAGGTGCAGGATATGGGGTGTGGCTTCTCACTAAGACCACAAACAATACTGTCATCCAGGGCATGTCATCCAGATAAGAGGTTATCTGGATTACTAGCTGCTGTTTACTGAGTATCTGCTGGATGCCAGCTGCTTCTGCAGATCTTAATTATTTGTATTAATAGGACAGCTTTGAACCTGATAACCCCAGTGTGGTGCCTATCTATACAAAAAACTTTATCTCCTTTGCCATTTTGAAAGTAAAATTAAATCCTTCGTGGAAAGAGAACTACATCTGCATTAAAAGAGAAAAAAAATTATGGCATTTGCAGGTAAATGGATGGAGTTGGAGAATATCATGCTAAGCGAAGTAAACCAATCCCCAAAAAGCAAAGGCCAAATGTTCTGATAAGTGGATGCTGATCCATAACGTGGAGGGGAGAGCATGGGAAAAATGGAGGAATTTGGGCAAAGGGGAGGGAGGGGTGAGAGGGAGCAAGGGGGCAGGAAAGATGGTGGAATGAGATGGACATCATTACCCTAGGTACATGTGTGATTGCATATATGGTGTGATGCTATATTGTATACAACCACAGAAATGTAAAGTTGTCCCGCAATTGTGTACAATGAATCAAAATGCATCCTGCTGCCGTCTATACCTAATTAAAATAAATAAATTAGGGAATGGGGATATAGCTCAGTTGGTAGGAGGGTTCAATCCAGCACCACCAAAAAAATTAATCAATTACTTAATTTAAAGAGAGAGAGAGAGAGAGAGAGAGAGAGAGAGAGAGAGAGAACACTATACCTAAGAGTCCAAAGCTTTGGATTCAGATCCTGGCTCTGCCACTTAATAGCTGTGGTCAAAATACATTTCTAAGCCTTGATTGTATCATATGCAAATACGGAACGATAATAATGATAACCTTTCAAAGTAGCTCTGAGGATTAAATAGGGCAACCTAAATATAATTTATGTAATGGGTTCTCAAGTAAGATTTGCTTGTAAAGGAAAATAATACTCCTAGGAAGTCTATAAATTCTTTCATGGGGTTGAACCTATGTATTATTAATGTGGCTCATGGGCTATCAGTTAAAACCTAGAATTTTCAAATGCAACTCCTCTAACTACTCCACTCTCCTTCCTGAATCCCCTCCTGCAAGAATTCAGATGGGTGACTCCTCCCCTCCATGCAGCCCTCTGTTGCTGGTGTGAAGCAAGCACATGCTGAGTGTTGATTTAAACTGTATTCAGTCTTGGCATGAAGGTGTAACTCAGAGTTGGAGCCCTGGGTTCAAATTCCCAGCACTGCAAAATAAGTAAGTAAACTAAATGCAGTTTCATGAGATTTGGGTCGTAACAGCACTTGACTGGAGCTACTAATCTCAAAAGTTAAATTTAGCTCCAGTGGGTTAAAAACTTCCTCTTGATCATATCTATGTGACATGCATGAATGTACTTACATTCACATTCAGCAGATTTTTAAAACTCTAAAATAATCAAATACCGAGGAGATGGAGAACAAGTTACTGAGGGAAGAGAAAAGAGGAATGTGGCAGCAGAGAGATGCTTGCACTTGAAAAAGTCCAGGGAAACATCTCTGGACCCAAAAAGAATTTACATAACCTGTGGGAGTTTTTCAGACAATTATAGTGAGCTCTGGGAAGATGGAATTGGCCACCAACAGCAATACTCAAAATGACCACGAGATGGCAATATCACTCTGGGAGTTTCTCCAGGTCCCTCCCACCTCAGCGGCTTTGTTTGCTTTGCTCATAGGAATCCCTAATAAATATCATCAGTACCACTGTGCATTTGCCGTCACTTTGTGCTCCTGCCCTTACCTTCAACAACTTCCTCATCACTAGACCTAATATAAAAATAAATTCTACTGACTCTACTGCTACTTGTTATATTTTAAAATAGTGTTACTTTCGCTCTCAGTTGATCAGTTGCAAAAACAAAAACTCATGTGTTTTTGGCTAATTTTTTTTCCTTTTTGTGAGTTGATACCAGACAGAAGACTTCCTAGGTAAACTGGATGTCATCAGCCTGAAAACTGTCAGAGACAGAAGTGCCACTTAAGACAAATATCAAGGGAGAAGGGCTGCTGGCCTGCATGAGTGCAGTCGCAGGTGCCTCTTGCCTCTCCTATTCCCGAGGCTGAGGCAGGAGCATCACTTGAGCCTGAATTTGAGGCAACATGGCAGACCCAGCCTCTTCAAAAAAATAAATAAATAAAAATAAGATAGGCCTGGAGTCTGTGCTCTGCCCAAAGAGAGTAGAGAATAAAAACCCAAACTGTATTTTTGAACTTTTTATTTTGGAAAAAAATGCAATAATACAGAAGTAGTTAGAATAGTAGGAGAAACCGAAATCCTTAAGATAGCATTTGAAGGATTGTCTGAGACTATAAACTTCAAAGAGGCTTGGAGGAAGGTTTGTTGAGGCCTCCTAAGATATAAGTTACCAGCACCCTGGGCCTGCCTCCCTCCGGTCCTTTAAAGAACAGTCCTTTAATGAAAGCCTTTGAATGTTATGTATAGCCTTTTTAAAAATTGTCACATAATATTATTTGGGAGGTACAATATAATAATTCAATAAATATATATGCCATGTAATGATAAAATCAGGAAAGCCAGCATTTTCATACCTTAAACACCCAATAATTCTTTGTGTTGGGGGCCTGAGAACTCCTCTCTTCTAATTCTTTATAAAATATATAATAAATTGTTGAAAACTGTGGTCACCCTACTGTGCCATGGGACACTAGAACTTATTCCTCTTATCTAACTGTATTTTGATACCCATCATCCAACTCCAGCTTCCTCCCTTCCCATACTTGCAAGCCTCTAGTAACCCCTGTTCCACTCTACTTCCACAAGATCAGCTTTTTTAACTTCCATATTTGAAAACACACAATGTTTGTCTTTCTGTGCCTGGCCTATTCCACTTGACATAATGTCCTCCAGTTCCATCAATATTGCCACAAATGACAGGATTTTGATCCTTTTAAGGCTGAATAATATTTCATGGTATATATGTACGATGTTTTCTTTATCCATTCATCTGTCAACAGACATCCTGGCTGATTCCATATCTTGGCTATTGTGAATGTTCTGTATGGAGTACGTATGGAGTTCTGTATGGAGTAATGGTTTCTCTTTTTTTATTTTTTTAATTCTAACTGGTTATATATGACAGCAGCACGTATCTCTTTGAATTGTTGATTTAATTTCCTTTGGGAATTTAATTTCCATGTAGAATCTTTTAATGTAAAGTCTTCAAAAGAGAAGAGTCAGGGAGACTGGTCCAAGCTCTGGTCTTTCAGGGAAGTTGGGAAAGGGGAGCTGAAAAAAATGTATTCCCTTGGACCAGATCCAGGACAAGATTAACACCCACAGGGAGCAGAAGACAGAGTCAGAATGCACGGGAAGGGAGTAGGTGTGTCCTGGGGTGATGTTTCCCACTGTTCCTGCAAACAGAGCCCTCAGTTTCCTCAGCCCCTGTCCCTGCCCACAGCCCCCAAATAGAGTCAATCCTCAAGACTGAGAAACCAGTTTCAGCATCAATAAGAATATGATTCCTTGCTTAATGAGGAAATTTCATGAGGAAATTTCAGCTGAGTGGGCTGCCAGGGTATCTGAACCCCCAGGAATCATACATGAGTATTGACCTAGAGAGAAGACCCTACTTTCGTCAGATGTCATAGGGCCCCAGGGCCACTTTTATGTCCTTTCACCCTAGCCAGAAAAAAGTCTAAAACACCACTGTAATGACAGGTAATGCTTTCCCCATTCTTCTCTGATGGTCACATTATTGTTTTAAATCTGATGATCAATGAATCATTTAGTTAAAAAAAAAATAGAACTGTCACAAGAAATTAAGCAAAATATATAGGTGGATTCAGATTCTCCTGCTGAAATCATTAATGGTTGGTTTTGAAATGTCAAAAAAAAAATTCACAAATGAACTTTTACCTATGCCTGAGATTTTATATTCATATGACATAATTATAGAACTTCTAATAAATGTAAGGTATAGGTACTTTATGCTAGGGATATTTAGATGTATTGATTTCACAGCACTGAGAAGATACCGACAATGAACTACATGTATTTTAAGTATGTTTAGTAACAAGGATACCCAAATCCATTAACAAATGAACTTGGGCAAATGTGCTTTGCTCTATAATCCATGAAATGCCTTTTTCACCTCAGATACTTCAGAAACCACTCTGGAAATAGATAAAAACATATACATATTTATTCACAGAAAATGCCATTTTACAGCTTTAAAATTAAATATCGTTATCAGAGTCAGTTCACAAAAAGAGCCTAAAGTGCAAAAGCTCCATTTCAAAAAGCCTTAAATCGCTCCCAAAGCAATGGAGATTAAACACTCCCCCACCAGGAGGCAAGCCACGCTCCCAGCACACCCTCTATGAAGTACAAAACAAGGGATGTATCTGAAAATACTG